ATTTTATGAGCCCTCAGCCCCAGAATTCACAGTTGAAAKAAATATGATTGTTTTGCTATGACTGTGTTGCTATAAATTATCACCAGGGCAGCATATTTGCTACAAGGCTGGGATGCGTTTAGTTTGGGGGAAATGCAAATAGATATTAGTGTTCTACTTTCTTATGAATATAGAAAAAATACTTAGAATTTTCATATGCCTTCTATCATCATAGCTATATTTTACTGGTGATTTGGTTCTTCCTTATAGTTGGAAATCTCATAAAATTAAACCAGGCAACATAATTCTGTATAGATCATTATCACACAACATTTTATATTTTTTTTCAGTTCCAGATTATGCTGTTTGCCACCCTACACTGGCTTACATACCCCTCCTGATCTTATTTCCTCTTTAAAATCTTCAGAACACCTCTTTTCTCTTCCAGTCCAAACCTCCCCCTTTTGTCCTGGGTTTTGCCTTTTCTATTCACACATCTCTGTGTAACACAGACGGCATCTGCTGGATGACTGAAGAATGTCAGGGCTTTTTGTGGCTGCAGTAATTATTTTAATTTCTTAGAAAAAAAAAATCAAGACTTGCTACATATAAATAAATTATCTAGTGCAACTTATAAATAGCTAATATTTTGTTATGATGCAACATTTTTTAATGAATTGAAGTTAATAAATATATGGAGTTTAACTTAGTTGCTTCTAACCTGACAGCAAAAGTTTTCTATAACAATGCTAGGCTTGAAGCCAAAAGCGAACAATGCTTGGCTTAATCCGTAGTAGATACATCCTCTTATTTGGGTCATTTTTCACTTGTTGTGGAGGAGGACAAGGGGAAACTCTGATCCCTCACATTTTTTTGTGATTGCTCAGAGAAGGCAGCGTTGCCGCTGGGCCATTGGTTGCAGGTACTGCTGAGGTGCTCTGCAGAATGTAAAGTGAAAAACACTTGGCTCTTTTTTTCTTTCCTTTTTTCTTGTCTTTTTTTTTTTTTTTTTTTTTTAAATGATTTAAATAGTGAAGATAGCGGGGCAATCTACAATCTGAGTCTAGTCCTGGCTCAAATTGATTTGGACTTCTAGTTTCTAAAGGCTGATTTATTCATCATTTGCTAATAGAAAAGACGACATTGAAAAAAAATGAACATGTTATTTTCTCTGCTTTGACTAATGCTCCCCCTCACCTCTTTTCCTGGATTGCTGATGATCTTTAGATGATTTGTTTTCTGTCTACTGTCGACTTATAGGACCTCTTTGGTAATATATTTAATTTTATTTAGTATCATTCCTAAGACTTAACTGCTAAATTTAATTTACTTGTCTACTGATGGAGTAAAGACAGAATCTGAAGGCCCAGTGCTACAGCCCTAAAAAGCCTTTGCATTTTGAAGTGTTAATATATGGAATACCATATATGAAAGCGGTTGATTGACTTATGGTATTTGCATATACAAAAAACCCTCAGCTTTCCTATCATTAGTAGGCAACTGTTCATGATGTGGCTCAAAATTATACCACTGAACCTAGCTCTGTGTCTTCCTATTCTCTAATAAAACTGATAATGACCGAGTGACATGATTTTAAGAGCATAAGAGAAGTTAAGCTAACATTCAAATGCATACAGATACACAGACATCCTGCACCCTTGCAGGGGCAGGTGTGCTAACTGCCTGCACTGCGGCATCTCCATAACTTAATGTTTGGGATGTTCTCCCCAAACACACACAACACTGAGTCTGAGAAAGTTGGGAGGTTAACATCTGGCAGTCCTACAGAAGGTSAACATCCTTTCCCATGTTTTGTGGAGAAAACTGTAAGGGAACTTACACTCATGCTCAAGTATTGCGAACTTGCAGGAGACAGGCTCACATGCAGCCAACCTGGGTGCCTGTCAGCACTGGGATAAAATAGCAGTCCTGCAGTGTGAAATGGTGTGCTGGTCGAGCAGAACATTTTGTGCTGGCCTCTTGCATCCTTTCCATGTACAAGAGCCTTCAAATGCCTAAGTCGAACTGGCATCACCTCTGAAGCTACTTTCATGGTTGTGTAGGTGATCTCTATGTGGGCTTTCCACTGCAAGGCCTCAAGGTACAGAGCTCTGCTGTGGCAGAAAAGCAGGCCCAGGACATGAATATTCTTGCACAGACAACATCCTCAAGTTCTATTTGTTTTTGAAATCCTTTATAGGTCTTGATATATAGATATATAGATATATAGATATATAGATATATAGCTCTTGATATCATTTTCAAGAGTTAACCACCACAACAGTGACAATCCCCTACTAAGTACTTCAGGACAAGGAATACCTTCATAGTAGGTGTACATTGCTCCATCACAAAGCAGGTTCATCTCTTGTTTTCTTCCATTTGGAAAAATATGTACATGTGTCATACATGAATTCTCAAAGCCATTTGGCTGTGCTAGAATATGCAAGGGCACATATGGATTTAAGGATTAAGTATGGCTATTTGGTCTAATCCACGGGGGGAATGTAACTATCCATAGATACATGAAACCTATTAATTTTATATGCCTATACCTACACACAAACACACTTATTGCAACATACAGYATATAAGTGCTGTCTCTAAGAAGTGTTAAATCTCTCATCTAATGTAGGATTACTGTAGAATGAAWTCTATTTTAGCATCTTCAGTACGACAAAACATTTCTGCATTTTTTTTCACTTTCTTTTAAAGCTCTTCTGCATTGTTTTATTCATTGTGACTTTACAAATGTAAAAATGCCCATGCTCTTCCTAAGCCTCAACAGCACTAGTTAAACTCTGCTCAACTCACACCATAATGCTGTATTCCCATTTACATATTCATTGGTGGTTGGTATACTTAAAAAAAAAAAAAAGCACAGTAGTAACTTGAGAAGGACTTTTTCATCTAGCAGCTCATGACTGTTTTCGAGGAATTTCAAACTGCTGTCCCAAAACAATGATGACATGGCATCCATGGTAGAATAAAATCTTTGGTGAAATATATACAGATGCTGTAAGACTGATAGATAATATGGAAAAACACTGAGAAGAAAGAAAGGGTAAGCAACCATGTTCAGAGAAGAGGGGAAAAGAGCTCGCTGAACAATTTGCTGATTGCTGATCAGTGATGGCTCATGCACGCTTACGCCCTGCCCTACCTCTGTGTAATTCCTGGTGTTAGCCTGTTGCTGCACTGTATCATCCTACTTGTCCACAGGCAGTCGTCAGCAGCACACCTCRGCCCCAAAAACCTGAAACTTAACAGACTTCGCACTCTACTTGGTCTCAATACTCACATAACAGAATAAGACAAGCAAGAAGTTACATCCTGCATGTCAAGGTGGGCCTTTCCTTCTCACATGTATTGATTACAACGCTCGACAGTCAAACCCATCTTTGGTTGTGAATTTTTCTCTTTATTTATAGTACAATCACTCCAAAATGGTTGGGTTATCTGGCAAGATAAACAGAGCTGGCTTAGTGCCTCTTCAGGTTGGCTCTTCCAGTCTGCTAACTTTCTAAAAAAGGATATGAGCCGTTACAACCAAGTGCTTATAAAGTTTTCTTATCAAAGAGGAGTCACTCAGGAGCAGAACTTTACTTTCGTATTTGAGGTTCAGAATTTCATCTGCAGAGTGAGAACTAGTATTACTGAAGCATGCAAAAACCTTCTCCAATCTTAGGCTGCTATGATAAATATATGCAGAGGGTTCTCTATGATTTAAAAATTGTTATGACATTGTTTTTACTATGGTAGGGACAGAATGAAAACCTCCGCAGTACTTGTTTTGAAGCTCCAAGATGTTGACATTTTCCTTCAGCTAACATTGTAAGCATTACCTTGACAGGAACATAAATAGTTCTCGTAATGAGTACAGGAAGGAATTAAGGTCTCCTAATTATTCTCTAATTTATTGTGTAGTCACACAGCATTACCTTTGCCTCCCCTCTATCCTCTGCACCTTACACTTCAGGGCATGGCCCCGTCCTATTACTGCTGAGATATAGACTAAACTTTGTCTGTTCAGAGGCAGAATCTTTCTGCATGCAGAAAGGAGTAGGTTTCTTAGGAACAGAACTAGCAAAACTCCCAGAGGACTAATACAACACTGCTACTCCTCCTAAGTGAAGACTACAGAGTGATCTTTATTAAACAAGTTTGCACTGAATAAGCTGCAGAAGCAGATACAGGGCTATTATGAGGGGAAGGAATTACATCTAGAGCAGKGGTGCTTGTTATGGGGCGGGTGGCAGGGAGGGGAAATTGCACAACAGCTTTCCCCAGAAAGCTGCAGTTTTGAAATGGGRCAAGGACAGACTCACTCAGGACAAGCAACCCAAACACTGTGAAGTCATCCTCACAGATGACTAGGGGCCTTGCTTCCTTTCCCCCGGAGGGCAGCAATCTCGCCCCATGTCCAAGTATGGACTAAGGAACACTGGAAAAAATGGAAAGACCTCCACACAACATGGTAAGAGTCCAGCCCCATTGGCAGGAGCTGAACATGGACTGACATGTGCACTTTGAGACACCCAAGGAGGGCAGAGAAAAGGCTGTACAGGCTTCCAGAAGAGTGACCTGAATTTAGATCTGTTATACAATATTTAAGTGTCTCCTATCAGGATGTATGTTTTTAGTCTATTACCTCACCCATGTAATTCCATAACTTTCTATCTTATGTCATAAAACAGAATTTTATGTGAACAAAAGTAATTTTGCACTAAAATTGTCAATTGTATCCTTGATTTGAACAAGACCCATCACGTCACGCCCATAAACACAAAGAACCTGACACAATACGGCAAGTGCTAAGGTGCAAGAGAGCATGTGAGCATTCCCAAACTTGTGTTTGTCCTTGTGATTCCCTCTATGTTGTGCTTTCCCACCAGTGAAGAGAACTCATGAGGAACAGAATCAGGTATCAAGTGAGCAACGCTGACTTTTATTTTCAAGTGTTACAACACAGGCATTATAAAGCTTAAAAAGAGCTGAACACAACTTGCATAGTTTATTTCCTCTTTTTTCCTTTCCCTTCTGAGGTCTAAGACTCTCCATTTGTTGTTTAGCACTGAGATTGGTATGAAGTTTCACTGTAGARCTGTAATCCTTAAAGGGAACCAGAAGAAACAGTTCATTTGGTTTCACTAGYAAGCTAGAAAGCTAATACAGAGCCATCAATCCTTTTCACTCAGAAAGGGGAAGTCTTACAGGAAAGACTTTTTTAGCTTTGGTTACTTCTTGCAGAATGACATTCTCAGAAACACATAAGCTATTCTGTGCCACATCCCTCTGACAGAAAGGCACAATTTATGAGAAGAACATTCATAAAAAACCAAAAACCTGTCCTAAAAGAATAAAAATTAAATCCAGAGGCAAGTCAGTATTTCTTAATTTGGGCAAGACCTCCTCCGATAGTCCTCCTCCCCACCCCAACAAAAAAAGTAGCTTTAACCTTTATAAAATGAAAACAATATAGGAAAGAAGTTCCTATAGAAAGTTGCAAGAAAGAGTAATAAGCTAAGATTGTTTTTCTAGGTACTTCATAAGCTAGATATTAGAGCAATCACAATCCATCAGCAGCCTATGTGTCAACAATAAGCAAGCAAGAGCAAGCATTTAAAAAAAAAAAACAAAAAACACCACTTTCAGCTTTCTTCTCCCTGCCTGCTTGAGGTCTAATGAACAAAAATGCACGTGGCCACGTAGCAGTGAAGTTGGTCATTTTGTTTAAAGTGCTTGATGAAAGCAAGGAGATTATTAGAAGTGATAAGTTAATCTGTTAAAGTGTAAGAGATACATTTATCATTTTAACACACAAGAAAAAGGGAGCATATTTCACATTTTCTTATTCCATTAAGAATGCAAGACAGCACTTCAGGGTGAAGGCCTTCTTAGCTGTAAATAGTTCATAAAACAGTTTTCCTACATTTCTATGACAGGAAAACATTTTACACACAGACCCAGGAACAAAATCCCAAAGAAGAAAGTATTATTATAGCTAAGGAAGACTATGCAGTATGGTTCCTACTTATTAAAAAAAAGTCTTTGGAAAAAAATGCTGTTTAATACTTTCAAAATCTTCAAATGCCCCAGTACTATATACTTTACAGTAGAAAAGCAAAAGACTTTGGAACATGGCAATGCTTGGTTTTGGGTAGGTCTTCTTTTTCTTAAGACATCATCTTTTTCTTACATTCCACGGAACAAAAGACCATTCCTTCTATTGGCATAAACTTCTGGCCGATGAGGCACTTGCTGCAGCAGGAGCAGAGGAAGCACTCCTGCGTGGCGTGCCAGTTGAAGTTGTTGTAGGTCACACGCTGAACCTCGGGATCGATAGCATTATGGCAGCCTTGGCAAATCTGGTAAGTTGAAAGAATGAAGAGTATCAGTAAAGCACTGATAGCCTCACCACAATTAGAAAAAAAAAAAAAGCTCAAATTCTTGATTTTGAGAGAAGAGAAAGGTGTTAAGAAGCAGTGTTCTATTTAAAACTTTAACTTTGATTTTTTTTTTCCTTTTCTAAAGCAAAGTTTTCAAGCAAAATGAAAGCTAGGAGATGAAAATAATATAACACAGAAGTTAGCTGCTGCTGGAACCAGATTTCAAGTCCATTAAGGTGTGATGACTTTCTAGTGTCCAAAACTGCATACGAACTTGCCATGCTAAATAAAAGCATGGATAAGASACATTTGGAATGACAAATAAAAAAATATCTTTTGGTTCATCGGCAGGTGTAAAGCCATGGCACAGAATTGAAGTTTTTTCTAGAAAATTTAATGCAATTCACCTCATCCAGACTTTGCTGTCAAAAGATCAACTAGATCAAAACAGCTAATGAAAAGTCTTCAAAGATAATTCTTCATACCTACATGAGAATAGCATTAACTGTCTCTAGCTAACTAGAGATAACAGTTTCTCTCCATTAACTGTATAAACAGTCTAGATGCACATCAGACTGAACTCACAATAAATAACAGTTTACTTGGTAGTAGAAGACTTTCTGAATTATAGAGTTCCTAACATAAGTAGAAATTAAGAATGCTCTTAATCTCATGCTCTCCCAAAACTTACTTTATAAAATTATTAAGCTTCTAACCATGAGCTGTTTTGYTACAGCTCATGGTTAGAAATACACACAAAATAATGAAGTGCCTAGACTGCAGCTGCCACTGCTGGCTTTTAAAATACCAAATAATGAGTTTGAATCTCACTGGTCACAATTAGCTATAATTGACATTTAGCTGTGCTATTCATCATTATATCTCACTCAGTCTGCGAGACAATCCTGCTCATCACTAGAAAAATTAGATCTATTTTCAGACAATGCCTCCAACTGACACACTCACAAAGTGCGTTACAGCACTTTTTAATCAAGTTATGAAGTGATAAAGCATCTGGCTGCTTACAAGCTTTTTAGGGGGAGGGAGAAGAGGAATGACTGATTTTGCCTAAATTTCCATTCGATTTATATTTCTTGGATACTCTCACACACAGAAAAAAAGTAGAAGCTTCATGATCCATACATATACTCCCTTCTTTCACAGCACCAATGTGCCTGCAAAGCCCTTACCGCAGCGTGGTTCTTCACATAGCATGGTTTACAGACAGGCTTGTCATTCACCATTACATAGATTTCCCCAGCCAAAACACAGTCGCAGTCAAAACAGCAGAAGTGCTTCAGATGCCAGTTTTGACCTTCTGCTTGAGTATATTCATTGCTGAATATTAGCTAGGAGGAAAATGCAATAAACATCAGTTCGTGAGTTTGAATACTATTTCCTTCAACAAATATGTTTAAAGATCCCAGACAGACCCCACTTCAATTTCAATTTATTTCAGCAACACAAATGAGTGTTCATTTCACTTCTGTCTTCAAAACCTTCCAATTCATTTACTGAAAACAGCAAAGGGCAAGGACATGAGGCAGTGTTTTCTGTATTCTGCATAAGGTGTGATGTGGTAAGGCACTCCACCTAGTGTCCCTTCAGGGGGGGACAGTCTGTGCTTTACACACACATCCTTGCGTGGCGCACAAAGACCCCCAATTCCAAAACAGAACTCCCAGATTTTCCTGAATATCAATTCTAATACCCTGTAACTGCAGACTGCTCAGTCTGGTGCAGGGACATCATTCCCCAAACTGAAATACCTATTCAGCTTTCAGAATGGCAAACCTGTGCCCTAAAACAGAGGCATCTTGTCCTACCTCATCACACCCAGCACAGCGAGGCTTTTCACTGTCACAGTAGTGTCTCCCACAGTACAGGTCACCATTCTTCCAGAAGTAGATCATGTCTACGAGAAGTTCACTGCAAGTGCAGCAGACAAAGCAAGCTGGGTGCCACAGTTTGTCATAGCCGGCCCGCTCCGCGTAGACAGCGGGGTCGCCTTCTTTCATGTTCAGCTTGCAGCGATAGCAACACTGGAAAGAATTTATTACAAAATTAAGTRATTCTACAAAGAATTATATTTACTGTAATTAAGCATGATCTATGCATTTCAAAAATTCCCTTTTCCTAGACTGAAATTAAAGCACTGCTTTGCTTCTATGGTCAGATAATATGACATTATGCCACAGGACAAACTTAACTAGGCAATTCAAGATGATGCACATACTGACACAGCAGTAGCTAAATGGATTATTGCATTTTGCCMTATTTGCATTATTGAAACTATAGGCTAGTTACTATAAAAGATTCCTGGAGATCATTAAAATGCATATTTTGTCTATAAGTCTTGCATGCTTAAGAACAAGGCACTTCCATCAAAACTAACCAACTAGACTAAGACTGGAATACGTGACAAGAGAACAGCTGTGCCCTTGTAGGTCATGAGAAGATCAAGCCTTATCACCATCATCAACAAGGAAAAATTTATTACTGTTAATAATTCAAACTCACTCTGTTTAAAGCTGCATTCTAGGGCTGCTCAGTCACTTATGGCTATTATCCAATGGGCTGTGACTGACCATCTTGGGATGAGGAGAGCAGTCGTGGAAAAAGGACTAAATATTTTATGAATACACTATATTACAATAGTCCCCCCAAATTCATAGATGGTCTGCTCTATATCCTGTGAGAAAGAGCATTTTGTCATCAAGTCAAAGAATACAGGTGGCTTATGTAACTGAAATATAATTTCACCTATGGTTTAATCATCCATTTTCCATTTACTGCAGTTCAGGCATTTTGTGGACTAGGCTGAGCATTCCAGAATAGTTKTCTCCACGATCCACTCTAAAAGTTCACCCCAAATCAACAATTTTAATACATTATTTAAAAAAGTAGTCTTAGCTGTAAAGCTCACTGGTCATATTCTCACACTTGCTTCAGACTGACAGCTCCAAAATACATAAAGATACATCAAAAGGGTTGAGAAAACAGTCCATAAAACAAATAAAACTGGACGCATAAAGACTTTTTTTTTTATTAAAACTTTGACTTCTTCCTACTCCAGAACGCATACTCCCATGGCAGCTGGTGGGAAATTTTAGTAGCACTTCCCAGATCAGCACATGATGGTGCCTTTAAGTATTACTTTTAGCATCCTCAGTCTTAGAAGGCTAAAAAGGACAAAGACAATGATGTTGATGTGGTCTACTTTAAAGCACTGAGATGCAAGAAATGCCAAAGAACAGATGCTTTCAGTGAGGAAGATAAGTAATAAGAAATAATCTGTAAGACAAAGATGCAGAACTAATGGATAGGAAAAAAAAGTTAACAAGGAAAATGACTGTCCTGCCAGGGGCCTGGCAGCTCCTGAGTCTGTGGTTCTGAACTGCTTAAAAGAAAAAGGCAGAGATATTCTCAGCTATAGCCAGCAGCATCTTCAGTCCCATCGCAGAAATCACAAATAATCCTTTAAAAGAATATGCCTAACTTCTGTTTACATAATAGGGGTATGTAGAAACATAAAATGGAGTGTGAGCTTTTGAGTTGCTTGTTTTTAAACTTCTTTTGGATCGCAGAGCACAAAGGATCTGGCCTAAACTACAGCAGCCATGTTAAGCCAGGTACACGAGTTAACCAATTGCAGCAAGTGGGGACAGTCAGAGCTAAGTTTTAAGTGTTCACTTCATATGCCAGAAATAACACAGTTAAAAAAAAACACAAAAAACCCCACACGCTCAAAAACATTTACTTCAACTATAACAGCAAAAAMCAGTATCTTTACCTACAACTTGAATCTTACTTCTCTCCCCTCCATAGAGCATCCTAGAGACGAATCATTTTTGTTATTTTGGTACTCAGAGCACAAAAGAGTAACACTGATGAAAATCAAACTACAGAAGCTTTTGCCAATTTCAGTTTGCCCAGAAAACAATTGAAGAGTGAAGGGTGGCTTAAGGAATTGCTGATAAGAAACTATTTTAGTTTTATATTTCACTTTATGAATCCTAAATTGCAGCACAATAACAGGTAGCTGAGACATACACAGCTAAAGTTTGCAGGATATGGCCTTAATAAAGCAGTTCTCTCCTAAGTGTAGTTTTAGCAATATCAGTGTAAAAAAAGGTAATTTTCCATTACTCGTTTTGTTGAACTATTTCAAGCCAGAAATCACATGCCACAGAAAGAAAACTCATCTGAGCAGCTGGCCAGTCAATACAGCAGTTCTGCAACTCTGCAGTGTTGCTTGCTGCGGGTGGGAAGGGCAGGTCTGACTTTACTATTTCTTAATTTCAATGTAAAGACAACTTTGCAGTTGTGTAATCCTGGTGCTTTTTTGAGGAGGAAACCACACAGGCTACCAAAGTTAAACTAAAATCTTCAAGTCTTAAACTGGTCCTTAAGATTACACAAGTTTTTTTCATTATTATTATTAGGCAAAAGCCACCCTATTATATTGCAACTCCTATCTAACATTCCATTCAACAGGTGATAATCTAGAAGGATAATCTAGGAAACTGTTTGTTGCAATTTAGTAATTACCCCAAGTTTCTAGGCAGACAYGCACATTTCCAGTTGCCCCTCCCTTCTTTCTCTCCTCATATTCTTAGCATTTCCAGTTAACAAATAATATTAATCGGATTAAAATGACCAAATTACCACCTTTCCTTTCTTATACTCACATACTGAGATGCCTTCTGATCTCCAGGCTTGCCCTCCATTGCTCCTACCGCAGCCGAGGTGCCTCTGTCACCATTATTCACGTTATTCTTGTCAGCAGCTTTCGTCTCCACCTCACCAGGAAGCTTGACATCTCCTACGCCGAGCGCCTCGCTCTTGTACTTCTTCACAAACTGCTCCATCTGCTTCACTTCACTGGGCGAGAGCTCRTGGCATTTTGAAGGATCCTGATCGTGAGCGGGCAGCTGCTTTGCCAACTGTTTCTTCCTGTACTGCGCTCCTTCTGAGCCAGCAACRGGCTGTTTCTCCTTTGGAAGCATCTGCATATACTGCCTAGCCTAAACCAAGGGGAATTAGACATCAGATGCCATTTCAGCTACAGACCCATCCTTTTTAAAACAAAAAAGTGACTGAAATGGGCCCTACTGTTGTTAGCGACAGTCAAATTTGTCAAAAACAAGGTTCTTTCCATAAACACTAAGCTCTCAAAACACAGTAAATGGAGGGAAAAATGAAGCAGATGCATTAATCTGCTTCTTCCCAGCACGAGGGACAGGCTTTCCTTTAAGCCTTTTGCACCATATAGAATACTTATTCATTTCAAGAAATAATAATTTAGAACAATAATTAACATTTACATAACACCTTGTCTCCTCTGTTTAAAAACCACCCACTGATCACCAGGAAAGCTTTAAGAAGCAGAAACTGAAATATCTTGCCTRGAGCACATAGCCCATTGCAGCAATAATCCTGGCCAAATAAAGAAAACTTTGTTTTAATACAGCAAGGACAAGTTCAGGAGGCAGAAACTGTAGCTGAATGTTAAGTCACCGAAAATTTAGATATGGAATGTTTAATTCATTCACTGAAAAATGGTATTTTTAGAGACATGGGTCTGAGCTAAACCTTGCAGCATGGATCACAAAACCCAGCAGTACAGCAAGTTAGCAATTAAAGCCTGAAAAGTGAAACAAAATCCGCAGAAGGCTATTGGCCGTCTCATCTACAAACACAGTTGGAAGAAAGTTTTTCTTTTGGATGTCAACCAAGGATGTTCTTACCATATACAGTAAAAGCTATACGCAAGACTGTGTTTCCCCTTGATTTTAAGCAATGACTTTCTTTTAAACCTACAGTCCATCCATTTTTTCTTTTTTAATTCTAAAAAGGCAGCATTATAAGCTGTATCCCAGAAGGTTTTCAAACAAAATCTTATTTTCTGGTTAATAAAGATAACAATATTCAAAGTTATCCATAGAGAAGAGCTACAAGAAGCAAGTTTATCCTTTGATTTACCCTGCTTCTCCTTTTCCCAACGACTCCTGCCTTAAAGAAGAAAGAGTTTTGACTTACAAGTGTCTGATTCTGAACAGGAGGAGCCCACTCGTACGTGACAGTATTGATGGATATATTCTTCTTGGCTGGCACTGGATTAGTCAGGATCATGACATTCCGCTTGTACATGGGGATGCCATCGTTCTTCAGCTTTGCAATGAGGGTGGTGTATTTTGTATCTTCAAAGAGCTTTCCCACTTTCCGATCTTCCTCATTACTTGTGAGAACATCATGCTCCTCCTGTCCACATTTGCAGTTACGGCATATTTTTCTGAAAAACAGAGAAACAGGAGCAAATTTACAGCCTCAGCTGCAAACTACATCTCACACGAACCTCATGCACAGTAACCACCTCTGCAGGAAACCCAACCCTTGTTTGCAGTGTTTTGGCAAATAAGTAGATGTTCAATTTTTTCAAAGACCTTTTGAGGATACTCTTTATTACTTCTGTTAAAGTTTTTGTTCAGAGAGATAATGGTTATAAAGAAATTCATCTCTTACATTAGCACTTTTTAATAAGGCATCATCCTTTGTACTGAGGCTTCAGAGAGACCTTGCAGATACCTGTCTGTTATCACCCACCTATTGGGTTAATATGGTTAGAGTCATCTCTCAGTTAGATCTAGGTGCACCCACATGATGATCAGTGATCATTCAGGATTTGGCTTGTAAGGTTCTTTGCAACACACAATTTCACAGTCTATATTTTCCACGCACTCCACTATACAAGGTATTTATCACTTGCTTATCACAGGGCTGTATTTTGAGTAATATTTTCAGATTTCCTAGAAAGGCAAACAAGTGCATGGCCATATGCAAAGTGTAACTGCACCAAGACATGTCCTGAAGTTTGGCATTAAGAGAAGATGAAAGGAGTGCAATTAGTTTGTAGACACAGCCTTTCAAACAACCAAGCCAGAGGTGCTCTAGYACACGCTGTACGGGGAACTTCCACAGATGACAACCTTAAAAAATAGGGGAAGCTCCACTTATTCACATATAATTGGAATTATTCTTTAGTATACAACACAACACACTTGAACTCCTGGAATTAAAGGGTTTTAGGTAATAATGCATTAGTTTAAGCCTAATTCACATATAATAAGCAGAACCGTGAATGAGGCAAGTTAATTTACTATGTATTAAAGGATTTCCTAGAGCTTTCACTCAAGCCATAATATATGAAATCAGGAACATTTTAAGATTTTTTTTTTTTTAAACAAAGAAAATTGATCCAGTTCCTGGATCTTTGTTGAGCTTGAACAAGAAATATTTTATCTCATTAAGTATTCTGTAWGTAATGAAGAACATAATATGGATCTCTTTAAAATGCTTTCAACCCTACCCACCAGAATTCATTTAACTCTCATATCTACACCTGGCTTTCCAAAATCTTAAAGACAAGGTATATAACTTAAGCATGTAAGAAGTACAAGCCCCGACACACCACAGGAACACACCATGACTGACACAAGCCCATTATAGGATAGAGAAGGGAAGAAGAGAGGGGCCCTACATAGAGCTGGTCACATAAGAGGCCTAAGAACGTGACCAGCCCCAAAGGTACACACTGCACATGACCAGAGGTACCCTGTTTCACAAAGCTTACTAACATTTTAGTTGAACAGCTGTGGCCCTGGTTCAACAACCATAATTTCTTATGAGGTAAATCAAATTATGAAGTCCATCTGTATCAAATCAGTTAACAGCTACTAGAGGCCAATCTCTAGAAAGAACCAGCAAAAAAATACCAAGAACCTATTCCCCCTGCAACAAAAAACTYCACAAAAAGTCATAATCAGGGTTTTGTATATGTATATATTAGAGAAAAGGCTTTTTTTTTTTTTAAAAAAGGATTCACACTTGCTGTTTGGAAGCTTGTATGATTTCCAATTTACTCCCACAACAGAAAAACAAGATGCACAAATTTACAAATTTCAAAATTAATATTTAACTGTGAACCTGTTACTGAGGAAAAGCGCTAAGYCCTTTGCAACCTTCCAGCTTATTAAAATGTTTGGGCATGGACAAGTATAGCCCATTAAGCCTAAATAAGTTTGGCATACATATACAGTATCTATATATTACAGACACTGCATCTCTCGAGCACTTTACAGTACAGAATTCATTATAACAAGCAACATCATTTTTCACCAGTTCCAGAGATAACACTCCTGCTCTTTAAGAAGAAAGCAACTTATGCTCAGTTTGCTCATCTTTTAAGGTATAATCATATGCACTTTATTTTCAACTCTTAATTATGTCTTCACAACCTAAAGCTAATTGGCAGTATTGGACCTCCCCTTTTGTGGGTTCTATTAACACATCCTTCATTACTACACCAATTACTAACAGGCACTTAGATGCCCCGCAGTGTGCCTGAACCTTGACTTCAAGCACATATTTCATTCAAGCAATTTTTTCTTTTTAACCAAGTATTTTCCTCATTTTAATGCAAATTTTTAGCAATAATCAGCCCCAATTTTAGCCTTGCCTCCCGACAGGCTGCACCCTAATACCCGAGGTGACAGAACAGAGGTTCTTGGGCAAACTGCACAGACGGTGCAAGCRAAGCTCAGTCCTGCTGTGCACAGCTACCATGTTTGCAAACAAACCTCAATGAAAATGCTCAGAAGATTTTGAGAACCAGCTTCCATTCCCAAATAGGGAAGTATCCTGACTCAACTGCTTTTATCCTCAATGCTACTTTAAAGGCATCGCATATCTCAGGAATTTCAGTATTTCTRAAAGTTTTAGGGTTTATTTTTGTCCCGGTAAATTGATGAGGAAATACTTGCAAACAAATGAAGGAATACAACTCGTCCTCAGATCCTTCCTGGGTCCTATGGTGAAACTGTCATAAAACTCCTGTGGTTTATATTAAAAAGAATGAGATCATCATTGAGTCTAGCCCAATTGCCTTCTCCCTCCCATCCCTAACTTGCTTATATTAAGAAACTGACTGCACACATTTCAGTCTAATGTTTTCCTCCTTGCCTGAATTAGAGGCCAGGTACTGCCTTTTACTTAGGGCTGCTCTAATGATTTATAGAGCAGATGGGTTATGCAGGATGCTGCCTACGTGCAGTCTGCAAGACGCCACTACAGGGGCTACAAAGCTAGTAGTGTGAGGTGATCCTGTCATTAGGGCTTCTTGATAATCCAGATCTCCAAACGTAGGAGAGAACAATCCAGAAAGTAYGTGGAGGAAGCCATGGCCCGGATAATCTCAGCAGGCTTTAGTAAATTCACAGGGGAATCCCTGAGGCTGCTGCTGTTTTTCCCATTGCCCCAATCTCCACTGGATCTCAGCTGCGYTATATGCTTTGCAAAGAGCCAGAAAAGGTTTTCACTCCTTAGTTATAATCCCTTTTCATGAATAATTCCCAGGTCTAAAAGATAACCAGCTGGCATTTACACACAGTACTTTTAATCTGGAGTACTGTTCTCAGTTTACACAGGCCTTCCTCTAAGGTGCCACATTGTGAGTCCTGTTCACTAGGAACAGTCTCTCCAGGAGGAAGGACAGRCCAAGTGCCTCTCTTCAGGCTACATTAGCTCATAGTTACTTTACTAGGATACAGTCATCTTAATTTAACTCACCAGACTGAGATGCAGTAACAGGGAAAGCAAAGGAAAAGGCTGTCCCTTCTCCCCAGGCCTGCTTTCTCTAGAGCACCTTCACCAAAATCATTACTGAAGAAGCAATTAGAAATTACTGTTCATGTGTTTGCAGCTCTCAGCATTTGAGCAAAGGATATGAATATTCCTCCAGTCAAATCTTAGCAGGTTGGAAAGATTGGCCTGTTCAAAAAGGACAGAAGTGAAGGAAGCTTCAACCTTTGTGCAACTACAAAGTGCACATTACTGTTAAAATCAGTCTTGGTGGGTTGTGTCCTTTTTCAGGTCCTGGGCAGGCAAAAAAGGGAAGGAGGAAAGGACAAAGATTCTGTCTTCTCAGGCCTGTGAAGTTTCCATGTTGTGACTTCCTATAGAACTCAAGGATCAAAGATTTCCAGTTTCTTCTCCAAAACCAAATYTCACCTAATCCCTATTTTTTAGATTTTACTCTATAGAAGAAGAATAATAATTCAGTCCATCAGCCCTTCTACACTGTTCTTGCAATTCTCTACAGTGACAGAAAGCATTTTGAAGCATGAAGGAGCCCTCAACAAAATCAAGGCAAGACATAAGCCTCATACCCTCTGAAAAACATTAAACAAAAATTCACCCTTTCCATGATGTCTTTTGTTACAACAGCTTGATATTAATGAAGCTATTGCAAAGCAGCAAGTGCACTGAAGGAGCCTCAGCAGCCACAGTCTTGGAGAACATGAGAGCCAGCTAAGCTGCCTGTGCCTTCCAGGGACTGCGTCTGCACGCAGGAGTCAGATGCCGACATGGGCATTTCCCAAGATCAGGATTCTGGTCTCCAGAAGCTTTAAGAGCTTGGCAAGGCATGCAGGAGACRGTCAGCACTTTCCAGTATATTTTGAGATAAATGAGAATGTTCCCTCCTGCTGGCGGGAGCTCGTCTCCAGGCCTACACCTCCATCTAGCAGGATATTTGCTCCCAAAGAACAAAAACCCCTACAGCAAGCAGCACTGTCAGCAATCCCTGCTCCTTTAGCAGAGGCAGTGCTGCAAGCTGAGGGAATTTCAATACCTGAATCAAGACCCTGCTAAACTTGGAAGCTTTATTCCAAGGAAAATTTTAAAAGCAAAACACTTATTAGTATTCTGAGATAAAAAAAAAAAAAAGGTGATTCTGTGATCATTTGGTTATTGTTGTGGTGCTTGGTGTAGCGATTTGCATTTACTTTATAACAGGAGGATTTCATGATTTTAGAACCAAGGAACAAGTTTCAATTGGGCTTTGTTCATCCCCACTTCTGTGCTAGCCTATTTTAACAATTTTGTATCTATATAACTGTCCCATACATAGGGCCAAGAAATATAGCACCTTCAAAGCCTTCAAACCACTAGCTCTCCTGCATACTACACCCCAGATGATGGGGGGTATTTTCTGAACACTAAGATTTTCTGGATAGAGAATAGGATATAGTTGCACTGTGTTAAACTCTGCCATCACATGGACATACTTGCACTCATCCCTGAGCTTTCCAGTATGAGTGCTCAGAATTTAGGCTCTTTGATGCAGAAATAAAAAGAGAAATAACACTACTCCACTCTGATAAATGCTGGAGTTTTCGCTCTTGGGTATCCTGGAGGGAATGGGAATTATGGCACCTGCCTCGCTGYGCCCAGGAGAGGGCAGTGTTACCCTGCACAGGCTGTGGCTGAGAGTAACGCCCAGGCATGCTGCACTAGGAAGGGGACCAACTGCTCCCCAGTTAAACCCCACAGCTTTAACTGCGCCCCTAGCCACAGTCCCCAGTTCAACATCTCCGTCTTACGGGTGGGAAAGTGCATAACTATCCACAGGAGCTCAGGTTTAGCTACCAACTTCAATGGTAATATTCTTGTGCACTTCTGCTAGTTGGATTTCTACTTAAAAGAGAGTTTCAGCTTTTTAGGGTAAGTGAAGAGAGGTTCTGATTGCTAAGTATGCAGATACTCCAGATCCATCTTTCTGTCCAAGGGAAGGCTCCTATCATGAAAAGCATAYGTTAATATTTTTCCTTTGCAAATTGTTTATGTAGAGCTGATTTAATTGGCTTCAGATTTGCATGTGCTTGCAAAACGGCCATTTTCCAACAGAGCACAGAGAAGCCCCGTGGGTTCTTTTTTCAGAGGTGGAGTCCATGCTGCTCTGATCCCAGAAAGAAGCATCTTGGACATGTTGTAGCCTCCCTGTTGCACGGGTTATACCACAGCATTTCAGTTTCCAAATTTAAACTTCAGTATCAACTATCCAGTTGGTATGATAGAAAGACTGTTTTCCTATTTTTTTTTCCTTACTTGCTCTTTAAACCCTCTGCTCTCCACAGACACTCACTTTGCAGGAGCACAAGTGCCCTGAAGAGCTGCATATTCAGGATCTACCACAAAGGAYCCTGATCTCAGGAACTCAGGGCAACAATCAAAAACAAACCAAAAAAAAMCAACTAAACCTCTCAAGAGGCTGACATTGAATGAGATTCATCTTTTTAACCTAGTAAATATGCCAGTAAACATATCAGCAATATATAACTATATTGCTTCTTATTCCAGTTTCTTTTCTGCTGAAGAATAAACTAGGAATTACCAAATCCCTGGATAATAGAGCTAAAATAAGAGAAACAGAAAGAAAGAGGGAAAAAAAAAACCACAACCAGCACAATATTTTTCACTTGCTATTTCCTCATCTCTCAAGTAGAAACAGACATGACTTCCCATCTGTAGATATTTCTGTATTTTAAAAATTCTGTTTTATCAAACTRCTTACATGTGTACAAGTTAACTTTGTTATATTTTTCTTGTACAACATCCATAAACCTCGAGTGACTATTTGCTTAAAAAGTCTTTCCATAAACTACCCCCATCTTTTATACCAATAAATAGTTAGGATCATCTTAAGATATTACCATTACTGAAACCACCTGGTCCGCTATTTATATTTTGTTTCTGTAGTTACATATTACAGGCACTTAACTGAAAAGCTATAACCTCAGCCTTACATAAACAAGCCTTTGCCGTCTGTTTTGACATGTTATTTTCTAAACTCATTCTCACTCCCAGCCAAGTACTTGGGTATAGATCTAATAGATCTATAGGTCTTAGGCCTAATCTGCATATAATGCCACTCTGGTAACATTGGAAAGACTACAGTAAAACAAATGTCTACAAAAGAAAACCCTGCTGTGGATACAGTAATGAGCAGAGCCATGGAGCACTGGGGAAATTTAATTACKCTCACCAGTTAGCATATGCTAACACTGCTGACATTTATTTGTAGACTAGTTGCTTTGAAATTGGTGCTATTTTTGCATCAAAAACCAGAATAATTTCAAAGCATTTGCAGGATAATTAGTGAACCGAGATAGCTAAAGTGAACTGAAAGCTGGTGTGTGTTAAGGATTTAGTAAAGTGATAAGTTTTAATGGTATGAAAAGTTCTTGCAGAGGTAATGGCATAGATCACAGTGTAACTTATTCACTGCAGAGATCATCAGCTCTTACAACATCCAAGGTCAAATACTATTTTATAAGCTTCCTTAAAATATGACACTTCCCTCCCTACCACCACCACTCCCAATATCCTTTGCAGATGCATGCAAAGTTTCAACTTCTTTTGAATGCAGATAAGGTAATTTTAAATAAATTCCTAGATCAAAGGCTAGGTATTTGGCCAGAAGCTAAAACAACATTTTGTTGCTGAGATAAAGCATATTCTTCATTGTCATCTCTCTCACTGTAAGCATACAGATTCTCTTCAATCATACTTCAACTGTTTGTTGAACTGATGTAAATGTTCAACAGAAGTACTACCATCAATTTCAATGCAGATGAAGAATATACTCATAAATAGCTACCTACTTAAATAGCTACCTACTTAAATGCTGTGGTGCAATGCTGCAAAGAAACCCTGGACTTGAATCTGAGCACACCTTTCTGAAGTGTATGCCAATGCTTTTTTATTGCACCGTTCAGACATGTGCCACAACATGTGATACTGAGCCACAGCTCAAGATATCCAGTCACTTACCTCCAGAAATGAAGCTCAAATCCTTCACATTTATCCTTGCATTTCAAGCARGGAGCACCAAATCCTTGCTCATGGCCCAGTCCCATCTGTTTAAGAACAAACAAAAGCTACTGTAAATTTCAAGAAATAAGTTACACGAATGATCTTACTGATTCCCCTTTACAGCAGACAGCTCAAGCAGAGCTTAACAGTTTGACTAAGCTGACATTAGGGTAGTGTTTTTGGGTTTGTCTAGCCCTCTGTTGTAACTGCAGGAGCTTGTTCACACAAGCCCATTTGCAGGGTTGAGATGGCAGGAAAATCACCCTTAGGCAAAACCAAACATCTCTTGGCAACTTGTTTCCCCAAAGGAGAAACAAGAGAATCTGCCCCAGAGGAAGAGGATTCTTGACACCCCTTAGCCTAGGTCTGTGCCTGCAAAACCACAGCTCGCAGGGCCAAGATCAAGGCAAGAGACACTGAAGGCAGTTGCCAAGACAAAGCAGTTGGYAACACACGACTTTATAAAATATAGATTGATAAAGAAATGGATTCCACCATTTACACACACTAATTTGAGTAACTGATAGGAATACAGAACAGATCTCAGTGATAAATCTGGTATTTCTGGGTGCATCTGAAACTATTCTACCAGTGATTGACAACAGAAGACATCTTTCAAATCTTTGTTCAGGTCAGAAAAATACCTGGTGGTGCAGAGTAAAGGCCGAGTATTCACACAATATACAAACACATCAGCAAACTGAAACAGGTAAAACACACTGAAAGTTAAAGGTGAAAACAGGCACCAGCCACCACCACTTAAGCACCTGTATAACATACTAAATTTAAGTTGCCTCTGGCTCTGTAAGCGTTTGGGGAAGCCTCGGTCCTGAAGCAGACCGAGGGCTGTGGGCCCTGCTGGGGGCTCGGGCTCCCAGCCCACAGCACAACCCGCCCAGCGGCGCGCGGCGGCCCCGCCTGGCAGCACTAGGGTCCTCACAGCGCGGGCTCCCCTCTCCTCGGCATCCACCACGAGGGGAAACTGAGCTAAACGCTGAAAAGTTCTAGTCMTAACCTAATTTTTAATATTAGAGTCAGCAGAACATAGTTAGATGTGATAATATTGTCAAAGAGCCTTCRGGTTAAAACTAYGTCTGAAAAGTCACAGAATGGYTGAGCTTGGAAGGGACCTCTAGAGATCATCTAGTTCAACCCCCTGCTCCAGCAGGGACACCCARAGCAYGGGGCACAGGGAGGCATCCAGGTGGGTTTGGAAGACCTCCAGAGAAGGAGACTCCACAACCTCCCTGGGCAGCCTGTTCCAGGGCTCCGTCACCCTCACAGTGAAGAAGTTTTTCCTCATAAGGAGATGGAACTTCCTGTGTCATGGTCATGGTGTTCCTGTTGTAAACACAAGGATACAAACACTTCATCTTCCAGTTCACTTCTTCCCAAAAAGTAGCAGTTTATTCGCAAATGACTTGGTCAGGGCAGGCAGCACATAGTGCGCTGCAGGGAAGACTATGCTTTCCATTATTTTATAATTCCAAGGATAACTGCCTCCACAGACATTAGACATCCCTAAGGAATTGAGAAGCTTTCCTGCAGATAATAGGCTATTTAGAAAGAAAAGAACCTTTGCAAACCATGTAGTTGTATGCTTACAACTCCAGGGCAGAGCACTAAATTATTTCTTCTTCCTTTCTTATTTGAAATAGTAAAAACATTCCTGCTCTGATCACAGTGACACTTTTATTAGCTGAAGGAGTCCAAATATTTGCATGCTAGCGGGGCTAACCAGAAGCCAGCACACTAGACATGCAAAAGATGAAAGCAAGGAACTATCTGCAAAATCATAGTCTATGTTTTTGTTTATGTAAAGCTAATCATAGCTTGCTTCCAGGGAAGGGGGATGTCTGCAGGGGTCCTCTCATCCACACACCTATCACATCGGTGCTGTACATCAGGAAAAACCACCAYGGGTTCCCGTCAAGTCACACACAAGCAGAGTGAAGGGCTGTCCAAACTGCCTTCTGAAGAGGAGGAAGCTAAAACCACACACAGAAAAATCTGCCTGTCTTTTTCCTTCTTCTTTCTTCATGACAGGTTGTTTTAAATTCTCCTCCCAAAACACTGTTGAACTTAATGTGCTTGTACTGCCCRCACAAATGCGAAAACAACATTGACCCAAATAGTTTTCTCCATACTCCAGCTACAAACTGATAATGTTTGGGGGAGGGAAGAAGGGAACAGTAACTATTATTTTAATTAAATACTTTCAAGTTATAATTTTATTACACTGTTATCAGAAGGCTTGGAAGCCTACGATCTCTTGTGCATGGACAACAACGTGCACAGCACACAAATAACCTTAACACTTTTTTCTAAAGAATCATCTAAAATGCAAATTTTCACAGTATATATTTTTTTTCAGGACTCCTAATATTTACAGGATTTTTTAAGGCTAAAAGTATTTGTCCAAAGTTAACATCCCTTTCCATACGAGAAGTCTGCTTACCTTATGGAAGAGGCTTAGTCTAGAAGAAACAGGCACGTTCAGAAGCAAGCTAGACCCCACACCACATGTTCAAAGCCTCTGCCTTTGTTCTCACAGAGAAGCTATTTGGCCATTTTCCACAAAGATTAAAGCTAATTAAAAGAAATAATAGTATACTTTGCTTTTGAGGTTGATTCCACATGTAACAGTTGGTGTACCTCATATTCTTGCATCACACTGTAACAGGTCTCAGCAGACTGGGCATAGGAGCCTCAGAACCAACTGCCCTCTCATTGCACACTCAGGACCAGAGGGCACCTACAGCCACAACACGTTTGACCTCTGCTCTTGCCTATGTTTATTCCCCATGACTCCCAAGTGACACATAACTGGCTGAGAAGCACCGAGTGGGCTGAGTCTAGAAGGGGAATGCGTGTCTGAAAACAGGATGGAATCAATTTTCCCCATAAATGGAATTATGGGAGAAGTGGCATAGATAGGTCAGCTGTACGCTTGCCAAGGAAGGTTCCTGCACGTCAAATGTCATTAATTTTTATTTCATAGGAGAGCTATCCCCAAACCATCTGGTATTACTAACATACCCAATACAGATTTAAATAATCTGAGAATGGAAGACAATATAAATATTATTGGAATCATCTGTTGCAAGCTGCTTTCAGCATTAAATATTCCTCAAGGGCAAAGAATTTTAAATGGTTACAGCTCAGTGAACATTACTAAAAAAACTGCTCTATTTTAACTTGGACTGAAGTCTGGTGTCAAAAGTTGACTATCTTTACATTATGGAGCTACATAGCTCTCATCTTAAAAACCCACATGATCAAATTCAAGCATTCAAATTCAAGCATTTAATYGTTTCTTCAGATGGGTATGACAAATGTGACAGCTGCTATGGTATTGTTTAAGCCCAGATTACCAGAAACAGTTACTGTTAAGTTTATTGAACATTCAACAACTCTGTTCTCGACCCCTTTTAATGYAAAACCTCTGGCAATTGCTGAAGTCTTGCCTCCTTAAAAGGCCTGCACTCCTTTTCAATGATCACAGGAAAATTTAGTTTGAAGAGCCTCTCTCTGGTCTCAGCTGGCCTCTAGTCCAACTGCCCACTCCAAGTCAGTCCAACTAAATCAGATTTACCTAGGTCATCTTCCATTTGTTTTCTGGATACCCTCTGGAGACAGATTCCAAGCTACTACAAAGTTGGTCCACAAAGTGAAAATAATTCTGTGTTTACTCAGAATTTCCTATGTTGCAATTTGTGTCAATCGCCTCTATTATCACCATACACTAAATGAAGAATAGTCTGACTCTGACTTTCCTACTCCCTCCCACTAGGTAACTGGGGACAAGTAACACCAAGAATATGTCAGTGGAACTCCATGAGAAATCTTCAATAAATTGTTAGACAGTTAACATCAGTCCTCTTCCTCATCAGAAACCCAGTACTTAACACACAGCTACTCAGAGTTTCCTTCCCCTTTAAAAAAGAACTTTTTAGAAACAGAGGTAAGGAGAAGGTAGAAGAGGAAGCTGTAACAAAGAACCACAGCTTTGCTGTTYCCAGGCCTCCCTCAAGACTTATTTTGCCTCTCTGGGGCCTCACCAGAGATCAGAGGARCAGGATCAGAGCTGAGTAGAGTCTTGGTTCCCTTCTCCTCCCTCTCCTCCATGAGGGGATTCCTGTATTATCTGTCAGATGAGCTGTATTAATCTCCCATCAGGTCACAGGCAGTAAGATGCAATATYAGTACTTAGCCTCTGCAGAAACAGAAGTACCAAAGCACTCCCACCGTTTGAGACTGCTCCAAAATTTGAGAAGCTGTGGTTCTGCCTAAAAGCTTTCTTTTAAGTAGAATACTCAAAAAACCTTTTTTCCCCCCCATTTGTACTGATAATGTATAAGGAAAAAGTGATCATTAGTGTGCCACAATAACAATGAACCCTAKCACAGACTTAAAAACTCTTTTTTTTTWAAAAAAAAGACTTTTCCCCCATTGCCTTTGAGTATTCAAACAGCAGAAATGAAGAGATTCTTCATCAAGCTATTCTTGGATTTACTACAAAACCCCAGGGCTTTTTCAGTTTGGTGACTGCCTAACTATTAATCCATTTAGATGTTAGTGGGTGCACATAAAATTGTCATTTTTTCCATTCCATGCCAACAAAAAAACCTCCTCCATTAAAACTGTATAAAAGAATAAAACTAATGAAAAAAGAGTCATGTGTTATGCAGGCTTTTTGCTGAGGTGAGATCTTGCATCACTATATTCTCTTCCAGTAGATTACATCATTAAGAAAACACATAAATTTGATTAGGTTACAAGATTTAACATGGCTCTTCTGCTTTTAAAACTATTGCTTGTAATGTTGTACTGAAAGAAAGAGACGGAGATCATAAAAAGTGATTCTATCTGGACAATGTTCTCTCTCAAGACTTCTATGGACACCATGTGAAAAAAGATGCAACAACAACTGCAGCGAAGAGCAGGATCCCACAGAGCATTCTGTATCTGTTGTTTAACATCTGTCTATTAAAATTGATGGCAAGTCTGTTCTAGTATTTTTAAAAATGCACTTGGATCCGAG